GTGGGAGCAAGTCAGGCGACAAGCCGCGGGTTATTGTCGCTAAGCTGCACTATTATCAAGAATGTGTGGAAATATTACGTCGGGCCCGGAGCCGTGGCCCTCTTCGCTTCAAGGAGACACCGATTATCATCACATCTGATTATACAGCGGCTGTGGCCAGGGCTCGGGCGGCGTTTTCGGAGGTGAGGAGGCTTCTTCGCAACCGACGAGATGTTCGTTACGGCCTGCTTTTTCCTGCTAGGCTCCGCATTTCTCATGGGGAGGAAGACAAGGAGTTTTTGGATGCCAATAAAGCAATGGATTACGTTAAAAAGAAAATCCTCTCAGCGACGGCCAGCGAGGACAGACGTTAGCTGCAGATCCAATCCCCATCGTTCCACTATTTCAGGTTGTACGGAATCTTCTGACATTATGTCCCGTGCTATCTTGATTTAATTTTCGACACTATTCCGAAGGACAGCATTCTTCTTTTGTGTTCTATGTATGAGGGTTTCGCAGGGGGTCTGTCCAGATCCTGGTCAGTGATGCAATTACTGTATCAATGCAGCAAGGAGCGTAAACGATATTAATACTTTAAAGCAGGGGAACCCTTTTTTTTTTTTTTTTTTTTTTTTTTTTATTTATTTATTTATTTATTTTATTTTTTTTGTTGTTGTTTTTGATTACTGTTATTTAGTTTTGGCGGGAGCCCAGGCAGGGAGACAAGTTCCCCAGCACAAGCACAAATGTGTGGATTTTTTGTTTGTTGGACTCTCCGTGGTTATTCAGGAGAGAGGGGTGGGACTATACTAGATTTATTTGTTTTGAGTATGCCTTCTGTTAGGTTACCTTTTTGTGATGGTTTGTGGTTATTGTACTACATCTGTTTGACCATTCATGAGCAGTCCTAATACTAATAGGTTCATCAACAGTCACCCAGTTAATTGTGTGAGTTGGAATGTGAAATCCCTTAATGGTCCAGTGAAATTTAGGAAAGTTACGACACATTTAAGACAACTTGATGCTAATATTTCTTTCTTGCAGGAGACCCATTTGTGTAAAGCAGACAGTGTAAATCTATGTAGGCGATGGTCCGGTCAAGTGTTTCAGTCTAATTTCCAATCTAAGTCGAGAGGGGTAGCCATCTTAGTTGGTAAACAGGTGCAATTCACGGCATCCTGTGTTAAAACGGACGCTGCTGGACGCTATGTTATTGTGGTTGGAAAGCTGTATGCACTTCCAGTTATTTTAGTCTCGGTATATGCTCCAAATTGGGATGATCAAACATTTTTCAACACGCTCTTTTCAAATTTACCTAATATTTCAACACATAACCTTATAATTGGAGGAGATGTGAACTGTGTGCTATCATCCCTTGATCGTAGTACAGCGGGAAGGATCTCTCTCTCTAAATCTGCCCAGTCAATTAATTCATTTCTTAACACTTATGGAGTGGTTGACGTATGGCGTTTTCGAAATCCGACCCTAAGACAGTATTCGTTTTTTTCCCCTGTTCATAAGAGCTATTCCCGGATTGACTATTTTCTCCTCGATAAACGGATTTTATCTTTAGTGAGCGAATGCAATTATGGAGCTATAGTCGTTTCTGACCATAGTCCGCTCATAATGAAACTGAACATTCCTGTTATGCAATCAGTCTATCGTCCTTGGCGACTTAATCCCATACTTTTATCTGACGAAAACTTCGTCGATATGCTTACTTCTGAAATTAAGTTTTTTATTGATATTAATCAGACTCCTGGGATGCCACTCAGCACTGTTTGGGAGTCATTAAAGCCTTACCTGAGAGGTCAAATCATTTCTTACTGTGCTAACAAAAAGAAGAAAGATATCGAACGGCTAAAATTGTTAACAGATCAGATTCTACAATTAGATAGGGAATGCTCCCATAACTTTACACAAGAATCTCTTCAGAAACGTGTATTACTTCAGACAGAGTTTAACATTTTATCTACCCAACAGGCCGAATATTTATTATCCAAATCCAGGTGTGGCTACTATGAGCATGGTGAAAGGGCTGGACGCCTTCTTGCGCAGCAGCTACGGCAACGCTCAGCTAAACAGGATATCTCAGCAATAAATGATGAGCATGGTGTAAAATGTTGTGAGGATGCTGAAATTAGTCTATGTTTTAGCAAATTTTACCAATCTCTGTATACTTCTGAAGCCTCACTTAACCCAACTGAACTGGATAATTTTTTTTTAAAGATATTAAAATCCCTTCACTAAGTTCTGATTTATCTAACGAATTGGAAAGAAATTTTTCTTTAGCTGAGATTAACTCTGCAATTAAAAATATGCAAAATGGAAAATCTCCAGGACCAGATGGTTTCCCGGCAGAATTTTTTAAGAAGTTTTCTGATCTACTTTCTCCCCTGTTGCTATCAGTTTTTGAGGAGTCCCTGGCTATACATTTACTGCCGCTGTCTATGCGTCAGGCTGTAATATCATTGCTTTTAAAGAAGGATAAAGATCCCTTGAGTTGCAGTTCATACCGCCCAATATCGTTATTAAACACTGATGTTAAAATTCTTACAAAGATGTTGGCAAAACGAGTTGAACAGATTATCCCTACAATTGTTTCACCTGACCAGACTGGTTTTATTAAAAATCGTCAATCCTTTTTTAATATCAGGCGGCTATTTAATGTGTTGTATACTTCCGCCCCGCCCGGTCACAATTGTAATGAAATTTTAATCTCGCTGGACGCTGAGAAAGCGTTTGACCGGGTGGAATGGGACTATCTATTTAAGACCTTGGTGATGTTTAACTTCGGTCCTAAATTTATTTCATGGGTGAAGTTGATATATACCTTGCCAATGGCAGCAGTACGCACTAACAGTAATCTATCCAGTTACTTTGAGTTGAAACGTGGGACGAGGCAGGGATGCCCACTTTCGCCACTTTTATTTGCAATTGCAATTGAACCACTTGCAGTGGCTTTGCGAAACAGCCCCAAAATTAAAGGTATTAATCGGTTTGGCACTGAACATAAAGTCTCCCTATATGCTGATGATACACTTCTTTATATCTCAGATCCCTTATCCAGTATTCCTGAGTTACTTATTTTACTCCAAAAGTTTGGAAATATTTCTGGCTATAAGGTTAACCTTCAAAAAAGTGAATTGATGCCTGTGACTCCAATGGAAGTGCAGCATATGGGTCCAGTCCCTTTCAAAATTAGCCCTGCTAAATTTAAATACCTTGGTATTTGGATTACTCACAGTCACAAAGATCTTTATACAGCAAATTATCTGCCTCTCCTGGTGAACCTTAGGAAAGATATCACTACATGGGCATCTCTGCCTCTATCCTTGGGAGGTAGAATCAATATAATCAAAATGGTAATACTGCCTAAATTACTTTACAAATTTAAATAGTGAGTTGTCGTCATTTATTTGGAATAAGAAGCACCCGCGGATAGGCTGTAAGATGCTACAGCTACCCCATGGTCTTGGTGGCCTGTCACTCCCTAATTTTCTATATTATTACTGGGCGGCTAATATTAGAGCCTTACTGTACTGGTTGAGAGAGGACAACCCTGCTCCCACCTGGGTGACTTTAGAGAGGAATTCAGTTACGGCTAGCTCTCTATCTGCTTTACTCTGCTCCCGGTTACCATTTAATCAACCAATCTCAACTTATACTTCTAATCCGGTTATAACTCACACAATAAAAATCTGGAATCAGTGCAGGAGGATGTTTAAAAGTACGGATTTATTAATATCCGCTCCAGTATCAAACAATCACATGTTTGCTCCTTCACTAATGGATTCTGTTTTTTATACCTGGAGTTTAAAGGGAATAGCTTCTCTAAATGATCTCTATATAGACAATAAGTTTGCCTCATTCGAACAGCTCACACAGAAATTTGACATTCACAAGTCACAGTTTTTCAGGTATTTACAATTGAGACATTTTGTAATGTCAAACTCTGGATGTTTTCCTCTACATCCACCAACTTCTCTTATTGATGAGGTTTTGATGTGCAAGTCTGTAACAAGACGCTCTATGAGTAGAGTCTATTCTCTGCTCAGCTCATTTAATGATACTAATTTAGATTCCTTGAGGGTCAAGTGGGAGACGGACTTGGAGGAGTCCATATCAGATACAGTTTGGCAAAAAATTATTCAAAATATCTATTTATCCTCAATTTGTCTGAAACATGTTATAGTTCAATTCAAGGTAGTACATCGTTTACACTGGTCCAAGGACAGATTGTGCAAATTCAAAAGGGACTTAGATCCGACGTGTGACCGTTGTAAACAATCTCCAGCCACACTTTTACACACATTCTGGTCTTGTCCAAAGTTATACAGATATTGGCAAGGCATTTTTGACACTTTTTCAGGAATATTTGGACAAACTGTCTGTCCATCACCACTCATCTCTCTCTTTGGGGTGGCTCCAGCAGAGACCTCCTTCAGCAAACATCAGAGGACTGTGTTAGCATTCTGCTCTCTACTGGCGAGAAGACTCATTCTTCTTCGATGGAAGGATCCACATCCTCCAAGTTATGGACATTGGTTAAGAGAAGTTATGTCTTACATTCATTTAGAGAAGATCAGATATACTGTTAGGGGATCTGTAAACAAATTTTTTGACATTTGGCAGCCATTTATATCTTATGTTGGGAATATGTCGGCAGATAACTTTGTGTAAAGGTCAAATAATGGTTCTGTGTGTGCAAACATGTGATCTGTTTCGGTTGATGTATGATTAAAAGGTGTACTCTTGTTGGGGTAGTAGATCTGGTATAGGAGGGGTGGGTTGGGAGGGTTTTTTGTTGTTGTATATATTTCGTCTTTTTTTTTGTTTTGTTTTTTGTTTTGTTTTTTGTTTTTTGTTTCTTTCTTGTTTTGTTTTTCTGATGTGTATGTGTATGTGTGGTGTATATAAAGAAAAAAAAGAAAATAAAAAAACCTTGATCAAAAAAAAAAAAAGAAATCGTATTTGGACAAAGTTTCATTCATCTTCAATGCTATGGCAGTGTGCCTCACCTTATGAAGACGTCCGTTACTGGTTCCTAGAAAAACCACAGTGTGCTGGTGCACACTGTCCACTGAGACCGAACTTAGGGATGAGTACTCAAAGAGGGGAGTGGCCCTGAGGGGCCTCCGTAGAGCTAGAGGATGCTGCAGGTGGGCGGCGCCGCAGTCCAGCTGCTCAGGCTGCAACTGGAAAGGCAGACAAAGGCAAAAAGACATCAATCCTCATCAGTTTTTCACAGAGATCAGAAGACAGAGGAGCGCAGCGCACAACAGGAGCACCGTGTGATTAATGTCTGGTGGAAAGCAAGTGTTGTGTGATAGGAGCTATCACTCTGGTGCTACTATTTCCTCTACATTACTTTGTGGGCATGTCAGTGAATACTTGAAAAGGGATTACAATGCTCTTCAACACTCATAAGACTTTGCTTTTGTCAAATCCTCGGTAAGCAGTGATAAAACATTTGTGCCACGCTTGGATGAGCACCAGGATCTATTGGGAATTCTGTGAATATTTTAGAACATGCTCAACCCAAAAAAAAAGGAGAGGAGAAGAAAAAGCAAAAAGAAAAGAGAGAGAAAGAATTAAGCGCAGTGGATATTTGTAGAGTCGTTTCCCACGGGCCCCATGCTAACAGCCTCATCTCTCTTACCATAAATTGTGTCTGACTTTCCTTCAGTGCTGGCCTTCAAACTGTCAACTACAAAAAGGATCACGTGTCCAAAGCCACTTCATGTTAAACCAAGGGAACTAACTTTTATTCTAGCAGTATTTTTATGACATCAAAAGTAGAAAAACAACTCTGGACTGCATCGATTTAAACAAGAAGCAGTCTATCTTAGGGGGCCTGAGGATCAACTCGGATGTTAGATCCATTCAGGCGAGTGGTCATGGATAGAGCCGCCGGGGGCCACAGACAATAAGGCCGTGCCACTGAGGAGGGCAGCTCCTTACTTGTGGCAGAGCATCCTTTGACCTTCACCCTACCACCAGGAACTTTAACAAAAGAAATTGCGAATTTCATCACACTCTCAGTTCATTTTGCCTTCATTGTGAAAAAAGCATCCAAAAGAGGTAAATATGGTGTTCATCTTAAAGGTTTCCTTAAGGGAAAATATTTAGCCTGGTATGTGAGTGGAAATACAAGATAATGTCTGACCACGGGACATAAACAAAGCGGCTATTTGTACTCCACTGCTGCGCCAAATCTGTGGTCGAGCTATAGTTAGCGACACTAACTCACAAACAGTAGCTGGAAAACATAGTAAACTGTTAACCCTTTCTCTGCTGCAGATCTGATAAGACGGAGAGGGGAGGGGTTGCTTGGTGTGAGAGGAGTCTGAATTCCCACAACCTTTCAAGTGGCTCTGAAGGATCTTTTCAGCTCTAATGACCTTTACTGCTTACATAGAAGATCCTCTCTCTGAGTCAGGAGCCTCAGGGCGGAGGAGGTTAACTTTCTGTCTGAGATACAGTGGTCATGATCCCCCCCCCTCAGGATCTATAGCAGCCTATGATTCAAAACTAAACAATTCTGTAAGTTGGAGTGTTTTACTTGTCCTTGTTTGGGAATAGATAATAATGATGCATAACATATCAAAGCATGGAATGAATTGCAGCAGAAAGGTTAATGTATTTTAATGGGAATTTATAAGAGAAAAACATAAAGTATGGCATTGCACGCAGGTAGGCATACATCTCAGTGTTGAAATATGTATTCAGATCAGGGATCAAACTTACCCTTTTAAAATAACCTTTAAGTAGGCATTAAAATACATCATTATCACTGCTTTAGATTGTTTTCAAAAGAATTGGTCTGATGTAATATTTTTATGTTAAAAAAGCAAATCACTTTTACGTTCAAAAAAATATTATTGGAAAATGTGTGTAACTTTTATGATGTTTTTTTTAAGGAATATTTTATATGACTGAGATGTACTTTAACATGATTTTGAAAATTTTACAATTGAAAATCTGAAAAGTGCGGTGTGCATCTATATTAACTGCCCCCCTGTTCATTTTTGGTAGGGCAACCTACAGTTACAATCCTTTTAGAGGACTTCCTTGTCCACACTGCACATCTGGAGACTTATGTTTTTGCCAAACTCAGTCAGATTGGGAAGAGAGCACCATTTTATAGCAGTAATTACATTTTCTTAGATTATTCATTAGATTTAAATCTGATTTAAACTGTGACCTTTCTTCCCTGTCTCAGGTCAGCCTCTTATATTAGTTGTTGTGGATTTTCTTTCCCCAGGATACTGTATGTAGCTCCATCCTTATGTGACTGACCCATGAAGCTGCTGCCACCACTATTTCTCTGTTATTACATTCTGTTCAAGGCAACATGTTGCGTTTTCATTGATTAGGCTTTTATTCTAATATGAGCTACTAAGGTGTGAATATTTGACCTTTGATGCTTATTGTTTGCACTGCATGTTTGAATTGTTTTCACAATTTCATCCAGAAAAAAATGTTTTCACAAAATATGGACGATAACTTTCGTTATACCTCACTGTTTTGCTCTAGTTAAAAAAAATAAAATAAAATAAAATAAAGTGTATATTTCTGTAGAGACTGTGCCTAAATGGGAAAATATCAAAGTATGTAAATATTTGTTTTGGTTAAGGCAAATTTTGCAATATATTCTCTTCAGTTCTTGAGTTCCTTTAAATCAAGACTTAAAACACATTTGTTTAGGATTGCCTTCCACTGTTCTGGTTAAACAGTTCAACTGAAAAATCATGAGTTCAACTTTTTTATTTTCTTTAGTCCAACTGTTTTTAATGTTCTTTTTTGTTTCTGCGTTTTTTATTTTATTTTTTTACCCTACTTGCTTTGATTCTATTTTGTCTTTGTACTGAATTGTGCTATACAAATACATTTGCCTTGCCTTGTCTTGCCCTACCTGCAGATCCTTTATGACACTAGTTTTTTCGAATTTATGTTTAATGATTTTTCTTTTGACATCAATCCATGAAGCAGCTAAGGTCTAGTATTTAATAGAGTGTCTTTCCTTACCACCAGGTTTCCCTTCTGGACGCAGACGGCCCCGGAGCCTTGGATAACGCTGTCCAGCACCTGGACGTCGCGGCTCGGGGAGTTGGAGCAGTTCCTGCGCCCCTGTCTGATTTCCTCCTCTATGTCTCCAAACTTGAACGCGCAGAGCGCAGACTTTGCGTCCGCCTTGGAGAACACTCCAAACAGATAAGGCTGCGGGTCTCTACCGCCTTCTGCGGGGACCGTGGTGGGATACACGGACAGCAGGCGGTTGTAAATGTTCCCGTTAGATCCACACTGCAGGGGCATCTGGATGTAGGACTCGGTGAGCTTCCTGCTCTCCGGCCCGGTGGACTTTCTGGGACTGTCGCTGTCCAAACATATCCGCGCCAGGATGCTGTTCGGCTGGCTCTCCTTGTGTCCCATTTTGGCATCATTGTTAAAGGCGATGTATGAGTAAGTTTTCTGGATGAAGGCGTGAACGAAGTTAAGTTTGTTTTTGGTTTTGACCTCCTGTTTGATTTTGAACACATTATCCTCAGAGGGATTGATGTCATAGGTGAAGAGCCTGGATAGATCCTGGGTGTTTAAGGAGCGGATGGCGATCTCCGGGGTGTTCTCGAAGCGCAGGTCCTCTTTGCTGTGGTTCTTTGGGAAGAACTGAGTCCCAGCTCCTGTGTATGTGGCCCCGACTAAAAGTCGGGTGTTCCCCCCGTGGCTCTTGAAGATGAGCCCCACTGTGGACGCGTTCGGGTGATTGGCGGCGATGTTCAGCATGCTGGGGAAGACTGTCTTTTCGCCCCGCGGTGGGAACTCCACCGCTATTTCTGAAATATTCCCCATCCTCCTCAGCTCACAGAACCCCTGGTACACAGATCCACACACTACCACGACCCCCTGATCCCGATCGAGCTTCAGGAGCTTGTTGTAGTTGTCGGTGAGGGATTTGGGATGCTCACATGGAGCCTGAGGCAGCTGTGGCGCATGGCACAACAGGTTGTCCTCCACCGGTCCCGTGCTCTTCTCCACCTCCACGCTCAGGGTCCCGTTGAGCTGGTACACTGTGTTGACGGTGGCCAGGTAGACCTTTCCAGACACAGGGTCCACCACGAAGTTATTGGTGAGGTTTGGAGAGGAGAACGCCTGCTGGATGTGAAGCGCGCTGGCGCTCCTGCGCGTCTCCAAAGCCAGGACGCCGAGGAGCAGGACGGCTATTTCCATCGAAGGAGGCATTCTTCCTTCTGACCGGCTTCCGCGTGTTCTGTGCCGAGGGGTGCATTGAGCGAAGACAAAAATGTCTGTTTGTTCTGACGGCGACAATTGGAGAGGAAAGGCTGTTTCCTGCTCAACGGCCGAGCCCAGAATGACGCGATAAACGAGTCGTGTTTCCTTTTTCAGGCTGCCTCCTCTGCCTCTGTCCCCCTTCTGCCCGCTGAGCAGCTCAGCAGAGACGCACTACAGACTACTAGGTCAAGATTTATTTTTAAATAAAGCTACTGAACTATAAAGTAGGATACATATTTTAAGACGCGCAATTTATAGACATTTAGAGATAAAACATGCATCTAGTGATGTTTTCTGAAACACAGAAAGCTATAATAATATTTTTTGGGATGTAATAAAGCCTATTCTTTCATGGTAGCAGGGGTGTCATCTCATTAGTCCTGACAAATGGTCCTGCCTCTCTGCTCTGACATATATTGTCCTATGAGAGCACTCTGTCTGTCTGATTGATCTGTGCTCTCATATGGTTTTTATTCTATTATCGAAACATTGACTCAGGTGACATACTGTGAAAATAGACTTATTTACAACTTTACAATCTCCCTAAAAGGTTTAGAATGTCAAATTTAAAATACCAGGCTTTGACTCAGCCATGAACTTTTAATGTGGCTTCTATCCTAAACAGTTTATCTTAAAACAAATAAAACATTGTAATAACCTGCTTGCATTAAAGTAAAATTCCCTTTTGATTCAGTTTTCTTTGGTGGGAGTCTTTCAACATTTGTTACTGATCTGAACCAAGTTCAATCTGAAGAAAATCAACCCAGATCATGGCTCGGCCTCCCACGTGTTTCACTATGTGGAGGATGTATTAGAGACAGTTGCAACACTTCCTGCATTTGACTCTGCTACTCAGAGATGGCTTGGATTACAATAAACTTACATTCATCTTTTAATAGTTAAAAATTGTGGAATATGCAACTTTATTTCCCTACAAATTTGTCATCAATACCTCACCCTTCATGTGTACAATAACTGTACCTTGCAATATAATTGCATCATTGACTTTTTTATTCAGATATATTTTTATATACAAAGTATAATTAGACTATTTGCTGCATCCTCATCAGCACATAAACACTTGGTTATATAGGCAAGGCAAGGCAAGACAGACAAGTGTTTTTAGTATAGTGCAATTCAGTACATGGACGATTCAAAGTGCTTTACATGAATTAAATAAAGATGAAAAAACAAGCAAAAACATTGTTAAAACAAATAAAACAGTTGGACCCAAACCTTACAGGAATAACACCTCAGGTAACAGTTTAACTTTAAAAGGCAATTCTAAACAAATGAGTTTTTAACTATGATTTGATTTAAAATAACTCAGGCTTTCCGCACCTTTCCAGTCTTCTGGGAGTTTGTTCCAGATCAGAGGAGAATAGGAACTAAATGCTGCTTCTCCATATTTGGTTCTAGTTTCGGATTTACAGAGTATAGGCTTGAACTAGAAGACCTGAGTGGTCTAAGAGGTTAATACACTGACAACATATCTGTTATGTATTTTGGTGCTGATTCATTTAGCGATTTATAGACTAACAGAAGGATTTTAAAGTCTATTCTCTGGGCTACAGGGAGCCATTGTGAGGACTTCAGAACCAGGCTGATGTGCTTTACTTTCTTAGTTTTATGAGAACACAGGCAGCAGCGTTTTGGATCAGCTGGCTGATGGACTTCTTAGGTAAACCTATGAAGACACTGTTGCAGTGATCTATTCTACTAAAGATAAATGCATGAATGAGTGTTTCTAGATCCTGCTTGGACATCAGTCCTTTCATCCTGGAAATGTTCTTCAGGTGATAAAAGGCTGACCTGGTAACAGCCTTTATGCGCCTGTGAAGGTTCAGGTCCATCATGACACCAAGATTTCTGCCACAATCATACATAAAGACACAGAAACAGCGGAACTGAAATGCAATATATTGAAGAAAAAAATGAATAAAATTTGCTCTTAAATAAAATATCCAACTCCCACGCTCTGTCAGCCATGATAAAACTACTAATATAACAAATAATGCTCTAACTTAACCCGGTCATCTAGATACATACAATATTGATTCAAATATTAACTAAAAGTAAACTTTTAACTCCTTTATAAGAAAAATAATTTTATCCCCAACTTTGGTCATCCAATAAATCCTAGAGTAGCTCTGAAATCTGCTGCTTTTCTCTCCAGTGAAAGGGGATGGTATGCTTGTCATCATCTGCAGTACCAAAACATTCTGTCACTCCCCATTCCATTGCAACTGACCCTGTGGTGACTTCTGTCTTGGTCATCTGGTAATGCACACTATTGGATAATGGATTGGATAATGCACACATATATTTATAGGTGTTTCCAGCACATATAGAATATAAACTACTGTAACGTGCTAAAAACATCTCTTAACAGCCTTATTGACCAGTGCCTGTTGTGTCTTTTGGATTTTTTTTAGGGGGAGGGGGGTTACATCTCTCCTGACTCATAGAGGCCCTCTAACCTTTCTAAACTGGGGCCAAAGCAAAAGGCTGGAGGTACATTTGGAACAATGTGGGAAAAGTCTGCTAAAACAGCTCTACCAGATTTAAATTAGGCTACTTGCTGTTACCGAAAAAAAGACGAAAGATACATTTAAAAAAAAACAATCAATGTTTTATCTTGATGCCAAAACCGGGTGTTTTAGCAGAGGTGCGTTAATCTATCAGCTCCCAATAATGTACTTGTATGAATACATGTGGCCATCTGACGGCCCTATCAAGATGAGCCTCCATCACCATCTTGGCATGGTTGTTCCGCTCATATTGAGGTTAATGACGGGTCACCATCCCACCTTCTGTGCTCTCCAAATCGCCCGACTCTCAGATTAGTTCTGCAGATCCGGAGGGTTCCGTTCTGGGCACAGAAGGCGCGGTAAGAACCGTGAAAGTGCAACCAGATGGACGCGTAAAGCGCACCTTTCCAGGCTCTGACATCCACCGCAGATTCCTTTCAAGTCATAAATATTTACGCTCAAACACATGCGCCCTCCCCATCCCTCCCAAAAATGGAATATGGTTTGCATTTTTGGACTGTGTGCATATGCTCTCTCTCTCTCTCTCTCTCTCATCTCTGAACCGAACACTTTGTTGTGGAGCGACAAACCGGTGCGTCAGACGCTGCATAAATCAGTTTGCAGGGGAGCCAGAGAAGTGTTATCTCTGAATACACGCAATAATTAAAGTTGATGCTAAATCGTGTGGAATCGCTCTCTGCCAATTTGCCGTGGACTCCTCTGGGGGACAACAACTCCCCTCCCACCCACGGTCACCACTTGCAGCTTTCAGCTGGACAGATAAGAGCACCACCAGTGTTTCCTTTGGCGCACAGCCATGCGCATCAAATCTGACAGCGTGGAAGAGGAGGAAGGTGATAAAGTGCATCATTATTAACTTAAAAATGCAACACGCATTTAAGTAAGATGCAGGTGGGGGGGTGAGGAGTTTAGGAGGGTTGAAGGTTGGGCCAGACGGGTCAGCATCATAAATCCTTAGTAGAAGTTAAATGAGTTTGCGCTTTTATCATGAGAATACTTCCACAGCTCTGACCTATTTAGCACCTAACCTGCTCTGCTTCCGTCTTGATAAGAAGCCACAGTCATATGTGTTTGGAAGCATTTTATTGCACTAATAACACCTAAGCGTCTCGGGCATGACTGACATGCAAGGTAAGAGAGCGCCATCTGGTGGATGGAATAGAAACATCAGGACAGGTATAAAAAAAAATCTTAACCCAGAAAACTAACTTTATGGAAAATATAAAATATAATATATAGAAAATATATGTTTTTTTAATTTAACATAAAACAACATTTAAGTCTCTAAACTTTCAACAAATCAGTTGAGGACAAGCATAGAATATAACATACGCGTACACAACTTTTGTCATTTTTTATATATTATATATACATATGTATATATTCTGTGACCCATCATATATTGTGACTCCTTTATGGATTATTCTCATCAGTCAGCTGTCTACTAACCCGAACTTCAAAAGACTCATAACTAACTAAACCTTAGAAGTTTGACACTCCTGCATATTTGATGCTCTCCTGGCATGGACCTTTGACCTTAGCTCATTACTCAAATTTCTAATGGGCTGGGAGTGACTCTTTAGAGGAAAGTCTGGCAGTTACATATGTTTCAAACCATTTTTATTTCAAAAGACAAAATGAACCAGAACCAGCAACAATGCGTCTGTTGGTACCGAGTGCTTCAGATTTTCTTTCAAAATCTTCACGATTTTCCTCATTTCCAGTCCCAGATGTACTAAGAACCCCCATAGGGTAATGCTCCTACCACTGTGCTACACTGTGGGTTTAATGATTATTGGGTTGTTTGTCTCTTTCCTGTCTTTTTTTCCACAGTGTGGCTCTGTTTGAATTACTGGATGAAAGCTACTTCTAGCTCCCCTCTTGACTCTTGGAAACATGTTGATAGCATTACATTCCTTCTGCTGCATGAGCATTAAAAGTTCTTCTAAAGGCTAAGCTTTTTTATGGTATTTTTTTCTCCTCAAGTTACAGATTAAACCCTTGATTTTCATACTGTGTAAAAATTAGGAGAAATTAGTGACCATCACATATCTGAACCAGATCATCACACATTGTTCTGTCTTATGGCTCAATTTATAAGTAACTGAATGAGGAAGTTAATGCTGAAAATTGGCAGTTAAGAAAAATATTCTACTGTAGTTGCATAACTGTAGGCATGTGAATAATTTATCCTTCCTAAAAAATCTAGTAATATTTAAAAATACTGTCAGAAATACGTTGCTGTTAAGAAGTGAACCATGTTTCAATTTTCCATACATTTTTACTGTATTGTTAAACTTTGTAAAAAAAAAAATTAGGCTTAAAAATAAAACTTTTAAAGAGTTTTGAAATTACCGTAGCAGGTGTAGTTTTTCCATAAATAAATGCCTTGTTACATCTTCATGAAGCAGGACTCCACCCAATGAGTGACTGAAATAAACGGTTAAAAAGCTGGTCTTTAAAAGTAATTTCATCTTTTTTTATAGGGAAGACAAAAAATAGATTTGTTATGAAAAAATACAATCTTATTTTTAAATCATATAGCCCTACTAAAACATATTTAGTTAAAAAAAACTTGATTCATG